CCTCCCGCCTCCCTGCCCCTGCCGGCACCTCCACACAGCAGCCAATGAATGCGTCAAGCACAAATGGCCAAGGAATGACCCCCCCTTTGTGAGTGCAATGCCCATTCGTATGCCTGGAATGCCATGTCCTGTACCATGCAATGCCATGTCCTGTACCATGCAATGCCATGTCCTGTAGCATGCAATATGTTAGCATCGCACGAGGGATCTGCACAGGAGCGGGGCCCACACGCAGGGGAGGCGCGTGGCTGGCGGCCGCCGGCTGACTCCCCGGGCCAGCTCGACACAGCGGGCACTGCTGCTCGACAGGCATCCCTTGTATTAACCGCCCCCGCTGGCTGGCAGGCGGAGCGGCATGTTTCAGGACTGCAGGCCCGCCCCGCCCACCACCACCACCTGATGCCATTGTGTCACATGCGTCCACCAACCAGAGAATACGTTCAGCAACAGGCGCAGCGAGGGGTGGAGAGCGAGGGCGCCGCGCCGCCCAGCGGGCAGCCTTTCACTTTGCTGCGCGCTTTGCTCCTGCCGAAGCCGCCAGCTCCAGCCAAAGCTGCACGAGCCAACGGCAGCCGGTCCGCGCCGGGGTCACCCTGGGACGGTCCCGTCTGAGCGCAGCTACTCACTCCACGCTGCCCTTGACCTCTATGTTCAGCATGTGCACATCCTCCAGCGGCTTGTCCGTCTTGGGGTGCGTCTTGACCTGCGCGTGTGCACGCACGCACGCGTGGCGCCACGTCAGTCAGATGGGAAGGCAGCGAGCAAGAAAAACACTCCGACCCAAACAGTCCCCGGCACTGCCCTGCCGCGGGGTGGTAGCACGTGCAGGAGAAGCCAATGCGTGGAAAGGAAGCATGCGTGCTTTGCGGCGAAGCAGGACGCCGCAAACGGGGTGGGGTGGGGGGCTGCTCAGCATGTGCCCATGCCCCGCACGCGGCCCCCACCTTCTCTATCGCCACCACCACGTCCATGCCCTTGACCACCCGCCCAAACACGGTGTGCTTGCCGTCCAGCCAGGGGGTGGGCACGGTTGTGATGAAGAACTGCGGCAGCAGCGGGGTGGCAGGGAGGGGCGACAGCATGAGGCGGGGGGGCAGGCAGGACGCAGGGAGGCGAGGGCAGGGCGGCAGCGGCAGCGGTGTGCGCGAGGTGGTGGGTCGGCAGGCGCCGCAGGGGCACGGCAGGGGGGTGCCATGATGGCGAGAGCGCTGGCGGGCGGCCAGGGAGCAGCAGGGGGGCGGCCGGCGGTGAGGAGTGGAGGGGTAGGTCCCACCTGGCTGCCGTTTGTGTTGGGCCCCGCATTGGCCATGGACAGCGTGAAGGGCCGGTCGTGGCGCAGGTTCCTGCGGCGCAGCACAGCACACGCAGCGCAGGTGGAAAGTGCGGCACGGGTGCGCGCATGGCAGGGGAGGGTGGCGCGCGAGGTCTGGGCAGGCAGGGGGAGGGGCAGGAGGGAGGCGAGGGAGGAGGGGCAGGGGGCGGCGGTCTACGAGCCGCCACACATGTATGCATACATGGTGAAGAAAGAAAGGAGGAGAAGAAAGAGGGATGCTTTCCACCCACCTGCTGATCTCGTCTGGGAACTCTCCCCCCCAGATCGACTCTCCACCCGTGCCGTTGCCTGCAGGCACAGCGGCATGCGGGCATGGCAAGTCGCATCAGGCGGCGGCGGCGGGCATGGCGGGCGCACGGCGCGCGCGCATGGTGGCTGCGCTGCTTGGGAGGACGACAGCAGGGAAGGGCAGGCGGCGCACCCAGAGGGTCTCCCGTCTGCAGCATGAAGCCCTTGATGACTCTGCAGGGGGCAGACACAGGGTGGTGGCGGCAGGGGCAGGGCGTTAGCGGATGAGAGGACAACACTAGGTGGGGGAATTGGGGGAGGAGGATTGGGGTGGGGGCAGCATGTCATGGTGGTGGCGCAGAAAAGCTGTTCCCGAAAAGGCCCCACCGGTGGAGGAGGGCCCCGCAGCAAACCCGCATCAGCCCACCCAGGCAGCAGTCCGTCAGAGGAAAGAAAGCAAGGGAGCAAGACAGAGTGGGGCGAGGCAAGGCGGGGCCTGCCTGTGGAAGATGACTCCGTCGTAGTAGCCCTGCTTGGCGTGGGTGGTGAAGTTCTCAACGGTTTTGGGGCACTGCAGGGGGCAGCGCAGAGGCGGGGGGTGCGGTGTTGGGCGTGGGCATGGTGTGTGTGTGTGTGTTTGTGTGTGTGTGTGCGGTGGTAGTGGT